TACCTCTGTTTCCTGGCTGACATATGGCAGTAGTGTGTGCACATTTTGAATCAATGGCAAAGCACAAGTAGGTTGTCTTTAGGTTGTTAAATTATGTGATTTTTTTTTTAACCAAGGGAACGTCTTCTGCCACTGAGAGCAAACCATCGTGACCTTCTCTGAGTTGGAAATGCTGTACAAAATTTCCTGTACTGAAAACAGAAAAAGAGAAATTCTCCTTTTCCTGCATTTAAAAATAAAAGTAATACTGGAAATGCCATGCCTTAAGGAACAAACGCAGCCTTGTTTTTCTTTTTGAGTTTCTGCAGTAGCGTTTTGGATTCTGAATGGGAACCCTACAGCTTTCCCGTGACCTCCTGATAGGGCACAACCCCGTTTGGGGCAGACATCACACAGTAACGCAGCCGAGAGCGGTCACAGCCATGGATTGGCTGCACCCAATGGACTTCATGGTCTTCCCAACCATAATGGTTCTATGCTGGTGTGTGGCAGAGTCCTTTGCCAAGAGGTGTGCCGTCCGTGGGAGTCCAAGGAGGGCAGAGCAGCGCTGTGCCCGGTGGCAGTAACCACCCTGTCACTGCACTCCCTGGTGCGTTGTCTTCATTCAGGTCACCTCCATTAACTGCTGAACGTGTCACAGGGTGTGAATCATTTTTTTGTGGTCTAATGGTAGCACAGCAAACATTGCAGTGTTTCAAGTTTCCTTTAGTCTGTTTTCCAGGTAGAATCAATGTGAATGATAAGCAAGCAGGTTTGTGACTTGCCTCAATTTATATATAAATATTCTATGTGCATATATATACATACTCCCATATAAAGAGATTATACATATGTGTAATACATGTACCATCCCTGGAGGTGTTCAAGAACTGTGGAGACGTGGCACTGAGGGGCATGGCTGGGGTGGGGTGGACCTGACAACCTTGGTGGCCTTCGCCAACCTTTATGATGCTGTCATAGGAGTTTGGGTGAAAATACAGTTTATAGAGCTGTTAGATAGACTGCTTCTGTTCCATTCTAGCTAACGTGGAATACAATTAGTGTTTATATTGTGACAGTACTGATAGCTCATTGTGCTCTGTCTCACTGCAGTCACACAGCACTGGGTCCAGGGCAGCATTCCGTCCCATGGCGGTGTTACACACTGCCAGCTGCTGGCTCCTGAAGACGTAAGGCATGGCGGTCACTTCCAGCTTTGCAAGGAGCCATTCATTGCATTCTCTCTGACCTATCTCTGGAAGTTGGAGGTTGCAACTCCGGAGTTGCAGCAGAGGTCGCAGAGGTGGGTGCTGCGAGTGTGCTGAAGCCGTGCGTCATGTGGGGTCAGCAGCTGAGCTCACAGATGGGAAGTTTCCATCCTAATTAATCCCTTATGCTGTAGCCTCGCAGCTTCATTAGGGGAGGTCGGTAATGGCAGTGTGTTTGGAGGAGGTTGAATGCTGTGATGCCGTACGTAAGGTGAGGGGAAATACATTCACCAGGATGCTTAGTCCAAGGGGTAAACAGCCAACATTTAGCAGCAGAAACTGCCTCTCTGGCTTTCTCTCCACATGGCTTTAATTAAGTGTCTGAGTTAACACAGAAAGCAGCATTTCCTTCAGTCGAACCACTCCTCATGAGCAGTAATGAGGATGCAGGGACTGCCTGACCCCCGGGCGTGCCCTGCTAATGCAGAGCAGGCAGCAGCAAGCTGACAAACCCGAGTGGATCCAGGGCTGAAGCTCCGAGCACCTCTGTGCATCACAAAATGGCTGGGAAGCACCGTGTGATGGGCAGACATCATCCCCAGTGCCATGAAGGACACTGTTGTGGAACATGGAGGTGGAACCCAAGTTGCACCCATCCTTCCTCCTCCTCAGGTGCTGCTTTGTGGCACCCACCTTGGTAGAGCATTGATGTGGAATGGAGAAAACAGAACACAAAATGTTGGGGCTCTGTCACTTTGGTTTATTGCCTTCCACGTGGTCGTTCCATCCGTTTGGTGTCTGTGAGCTGAGCCCAGAGGGGAGGAGGAGCACGGCTGCACTGCTCCCACATGGGGAGGGGGCTCTCACTGGGGCTGCCGGGAGCTGCCCATTCCAGCAGGCAGGATGGCCACAGCCCACTGCTGCCTTCTTCAACTTTGCTTCTCCTCTTGGATGTCAACGCAGAGCACTGCAAACATTCTGTGTAGCTCAGTTTCTAGTTTTGGAGATAGCTTAGCAAAACAGCCTTGGCTAATGCAAACTCAGAGAGACCCCCAAGCCCCAGCTCCTGTCCCCTTCTCCAACATGCTGCTTCCCAGCATGCTCAGGAGAATTTGTTTCCAGCTTCTTGCCCACGGCTCATCCAGAACACGTTCCAGGCTAACGGGGCACCTCCCTGGCATGTTTCTCCACCATTCCATGATGAGTTCCAGATGTGGCTGTGATTCATAACATCTGGGGCTGAGCGTGGCTGGGCACAGGGAGAGAGAGCCTTCACAGCCATGTTGCACAGCCTGCTCACAGCGTCCCTTTCACCAGGCAGCCCAGAATAAGGGACAGCACCAGCACGACACAGGGCAGGTCCTGCTCCTTGCAAGAGGGCACAGAGAACTGGTTCTGTTTTGGGGCAGAAAGGTTTAGGAGAAGGCTGTAAGCACTGATCTCCTGCTTTGAAGAAAGCAGGACTAACAGATGATGCTGCCATGCAGAGAATAAAGGTGACCTCTCGTTGGCCATGCCTGCAGGAAATCCTGAGCCCCAGTGCTTCCTGCTTATGGGCTGTCCCATCCCTCCCCTGCTCTCATGTCTGTGCAGCAGTGTCGTGGCCACATCCAGACCCAGAGATCCTCCCCACAGCTTACACGCTCCAGGTAGAAGTCAGCCCCATACCTGGTGGGCCAGGAGGATGCACAACAACGTGTAGAAGCCATTCAAGTTGATGTTCCTCGTCGTGTTGTGGTCCAGCAGGGTGAACAGCAGCACAATCTGCTTTTTCCTCAGGTCCGTCATGTAACGGAGAATGCAATAACACTGCAGGTCTGGAAAGCAGCGAGCTCCCAGGCCTCATCTGCACAAAGCTGTGAGCAGCAATTTGTGGGGTTTATTTTAGTTTAAATGCCACTGTTCCCAGATGAGGTGCACAGACAATTCGGGCAATAAAAAACACAGTAGCAGATGAGATACCGCTCAGAATTAACAGACAGCATTAATGAGATGTCTGATTTATGAAGTGGCATGTATGTGATTTCTGCACCGAAGACAATGTTAAAGCACACATAAATTCCTGACTTCCTTCTCTTCCACCCTACGCCCTTGAAAGGAAAACAAAAAAGAAAACCAAAAAACTTTTCAATAAACAGGAAACGCTGGGAAAAGAACGCATTTTTCTTTTGGAGGAGTCTCTTGTAACTCCTGACCCACCCACAGTCATTTGTAGCTCAGTTCCATCTGCTCTGGCTGCCCAGGAGCTGGGGGTGCCCAGCACCGTGCTGCTGCCTGATGGAGAGGAGGAGCGACCTGTGGCTGTGAACAGCCTCACACAGAAAGGCAAGATGCCTGTCTGCCTTCTAGCACAGAGCTGGCTTTTGGAAAGGATTACACTGTGAGGTTGCGGCAGTGCTAAGGAATGAGTTTCATTGAGCCAGAATCCCCTCTTGCCCTGCATTGCTGGCATCTTGCTTGTACAGCTGTGAAGACCTCCTTTATCACCTCCTTTTGTGTGTCTGTTGTCAGCTCACAGGCAGCCAGGAGCTGGTTATCGTGTCTGTACAGCACTGGAAGCCGACCTGGGGGCTCTGCGTGCTGCAGGGATGCGGGGGGTGATAACACTATAAAATCAAGTGGGGTTATGGGCTGTCAGCAAAGGAGGGGGAAGGAAAACCGTTTGGATGTGATGCTCACGGACATGATTTAGCAGAGGGTTGGTAGAGTTAGGGTAGTATGGTTAGGTCATGGTTGGACTCAATGATCTTTAAGGTCTTTTCCAACCTGAGTGATTCTACGATTCTGTGAGGGTTGAATCCATCCCAGTCTCTAGCAGTGGTCCCATGAGCCAGGTAACCTTCAGAGAGCTGCACCACGGTGGGGAGGGCCAGGGCCCTGTGCTGGGGCGGCAGCTGCTCTTCATTCCAAGACTCCCAATAGCCAGTTCTCCTGGCAATGAAGCCCACAGACAGCAGATCTGCCGATACAGTATCAAACATAGGGTAAAAAATGCCACAGCTCATTTTCAAGGGTACACTGATTTGCCCAAAAACTTCCAGAGGGTTACTTTGCAAAATGTCTGTGAGTGGAGAAATCACCTCTCTGAGCTCCCTTCTGCTTGGGCTGAACCACAAGCCCTTCAGCACAGGGCTTATCTTGAACTCTCTGTCTTCACAGAACCTGATGAGGATGGAGATGCCCAATAGTTGCCCACAGCTATTGCAGTGGCAGCCTAGAGATCACAGAATCTTAGATTCACCAAGGCTGGAAAAGACCTACAAGATCATCCCATCCAACCATCCGCCCATCACCAACAGTTCTCACCAAACCACGTCCCTCAACACAAAATCCAACCGTTCCTTGAACGCCTCCAGGGTCGGTGACTCCGCCACCTCCCTGGGCAGCCCATTGCAGCGCCTGACCACTCTTTCAGAACATCAGTATATGACAGAATCAAACACTTACTGGGAAGACAGAGATGGAACAAGGAGAATAACCATAGGGAGGTCCACTAGACTTTAAGAAAAAACCTCCCCGGCTGCACCATCGGCTCTCTCCCCTAGATGTCCCCATTTAATACTTGATTTTATAGCGGCTTTTCAGAAGGGTTTGAACTTCTGCCAACGAGAGCGTGCGGACCGGCACCGAGCCGGGTCCCAACCGCGCTCTCTGCTCCGGCTCTGCCGGCAGCCGCCCACCTCGGCCCGGCTCGGCAGCGCAGTACAGCACGGCAGCGCCGAGCCGAGCCGGGCGGGGCGGGTGCCGGCCAATGGCACGGGGGGGCGGCAGGCGGGCAGGCCAGCAGGTGGAGCGGCTCCGGCTCCGCGTGCGCGGCTGCGGGCGGCTCCGTGCTGCCCCGGGGCAGAGCGCGGGGCGGCTGCCGGTAGCTGGCGGCGGCGTGGGGGGGGAACCGCCGCGCTCCCGGCAGCATGGCTTTCGCTAATTTCCGCCGCATCCTGCGCCTTTCCACCTTTGAGAAACGGCGTTCCAAGGAGTACGAGCACGTTCGAAGAGACCTGGATCCCGGCGAGGTGTGGGAGGTCGTGGGGGAGCTGGGAGACGGAGCCTTCGGCAAGGTCTACAAGGTGGGTGCGCTCTCCCAGGCACCTGCGCTCCCCGCGCGGTGCCGCCGGGATCCCCGCTCCGCGCACCGGGCTGCGTCTGCGCGTCCCGCCGGGCACCGCGGGGTTGGGAGCGGGGGAAGCGTCTTGTGCAAGTAGGGGCAGCGGGAGAACTTCTGGTTCAGTAGGACCGAAGTGCAGCCGTACCTGGGGCTGGGGCAAGAAGGAAGAGGAGCGTTCTGTCTCTCTCTTTCATTAAAAAAAAAAAAAAAAAAAAAAAAAAGCCTTTTTCTTTTTTTCCTTCTAAACTGTCAAACTTCTAAACCTTGCCAGACTGTCGGAGCAATGAATGGAGAGCTCGCCGTCTCCAAGTTTTGCGAGCCTCCAGGGGTGCCATTATGTGTGTGCAAGCTCGGTGAGCAGGGGAGCGCAGCTTCCGATGGGAACAGTGCTATGACTGCTTTACCTTTGGGGTTCTAAAGGCCAAATACCAAACCGGACTTTGCTCCCCAAAGCTCCCCTGGTACGGCTCTGCGCTGCTCAGCTCTGCTGCCCGGCAGCTGGGGTGGGCAGGATGCTGGCTGGCTGGAGGAGAAGGTTGGGCTCCAGCTTCCCTGCCCTGGTTGCAGAGATCGTTTGGAAGCGGAGCTGTGAATGAGCTGTTTGGCGGCTGCTTTCTGGCAGGCTCGTTAGAACGTTCAGCAAGGTATTGCCGTGTCAGAGCTGGGAAATGCAGAGTGACCAAGAGAAGGGCGAGCAGGGAGCTGGCTGTTTGCAGGCCAGGACAGCACTCTGCCATTTGTTTTCTCTATTTATGGCTGTGTTATTTGAGAAAAATACTCTAAAAATCAGACTTAAAGTGGAAATGTTTGGTGAAGGATCCATTCTTCTAATATAACGCAATTGCTCACAATTGTGAGTTAAGCTCTAATATATTTATCATTTTGAAAGTGGCACCTGTGCTAATTAGCTCTTCTGTGACCCATTTGCTTGGTGTTGTGTATTGGAAACCACTTTGTATATAGCAACGCTCACTCCTGCCTGGGTAATTATTTGCTTGTATTTGCTTAGGTTTCTTGTGCAATGAAAGGAATGAGGTAAACATTGTAAAATAAGTTAATGGGCTTCTGAGACAAATGAAAACTTGGAGGAACACCTGATTTATATCTCCTCTACTTCAGATGTGTTTCACATATCCAAAATAGTGAACTTTAAAACAATAAATAAATAACGGTGGCTGGATTGGTTTTTACATCAGCTGTCAGACCTGAATGCCTCTGCTGTGAACTCCAGCCTGACTCAGAATTAATCGATGATGGTAACTGTGTGCGCTGTGCTGTCGGGCAGCAGCACTGCTGTGTCTCCAGCTCCTTCCAGCTCCTTCCACCTCCCTCCATCTCCTTTTCAACCCGAAGGAGGACGTGGGCTGTAGTCATGGCGCAGTGCAGGCCGCGTGGTTACAGCCCAAAGTTCACTGTGTCTGCAGCTGTGATTGTACTTTAACAACCAGATCGAGAGGACTGTCTGCTTTAGGCATGGGGTGGAGGCTCACCTTGTGATGAAGGAGAGGGCTTTTCTGCTTCGTTGGTCAAGTTTCAGTTCTCCATCTTTGAACTGTGCCCATCCTTCATCTGGAAGGACACGGTTGGCCTTTAAGAGCTCTTGCACAAGATTTGGTTTGTTTAAGAACCCTGAAAGATTCAGGTGACGCATTACTCTAAAGCCTTATTTTAGCTAATAACTGGTACTGTTATTGCAGAGCCGTTTCCTGCCATGTTAAGGTTTAACTTGCATATTGTCTTCCTTTGTCTTTCTAATCTGGAGCATGACCCCAGTGATGTGTATGGAATGGTGACGTGAAGGATTATGCTTGCTGTACTGCTCTGCTCAGCTGCCAGGAAAGCCCAGAACAAACAAACCAGCCCTTGTGCACCAGGAAAACGTAGGTGGCCAAGGTGCAGTGAGAAATTGTAATCGTTCTCTTCAAGTTACTTTGATGTCAATTTGCTTTTCACACCAAAGCAATCATTTGGAGCGAGTCGAGGCGTTTGTGTGGCAGTGAGAGTTTCAGGATGTTTGAATGAAGTTCCTGCCTGCCCTCCGCCCTGCAGCACGGGGATGTGATGTAAGCCCTGCATCCTGCCCTGCGGCCCATGTGTTGGGCCCTTGTGCAAAAAGATTCGTGCAGGGAGTAATCTGAAACACAGCCTGAATGCTCCGTGCTGGGAGCCATTTAGATTTTGGTAGAAGGAAAAGTGTATTTATTGGAGCGGGTTTAGTTTTTGTGATGCTGGGTTTGAGCAGGGGGAAGAAGGGCTCAGCTGTGCAGCGCTGGTGTAACTGCACTGCAGAGTGCTTGGGGAGCTGCTCCTTGGACTGCCCGGCACTCAGCTGAGCAAAGCTGAGCTGGTTTGACACAAAAGTAGGATGTGCTTGATTCCAATGTATGTTAATTACAAATAATCATCTCTGAAGTAGAGCCCAAAATGTATGTGGTCGGCCTTAAGAAACACACAGTTAGTAAGAACTGCGGGAATTCCTGTTTCTCTATAAAGCTGCTCTTCTTTCCCCAGCAGAAGGGGACCTGATTGTATGAGGAAACAGTGAAACTCGCTGCAGAGGGTAATGATGCTGAAAAGTAGGAAGGCAGTGGGGAAAACTGCTGCTGCTTTGCATTCACACTATGAATCCTTTGGTTTTGGTAATTCCAGTGGGTGTGATAAGGCAGCAATAGTAGCCCACAGAGAGCAACACGCTGCCTTCCAAACGTATTTAGTTATTTTCTTCACCCAAAGGTCATTAAATCAGCCATCTGCTGTCAGTCATCGGGCCGGTGGTCAGGAGCTGCAGTCAGTGTGAAGTTAGCAGTACCCCTATTATAAAACATACAAATAAATGCAATATAAACGTAAAAATTCAATGTCCTACCTCAGAACCTTTTGTTGTCAGCAGGAATGGATGCACCCTGGCTCTTACAGGCCCTGATGGGGACAGGGCTGTGTCTTGTAGAAGCATGGGCTCTGCTGAAAGGAGCCTGCAGTTTTGCTGCCTTCCTGCTTCCTGTCAAACTGTGGATCGTTTTTGCTGTCCTCGCACCTCTTGTTGAACGCTATCTCCTCTTCCCAGCACATGCTGATGGGTGCTGCTCTGATAACGCTTCCTCCTAGCAGGGTGGGGGTGGGATGTTCCCTCCGTGCAGAGCAGCCCGCAGCTGTCAGCACTGAGGCAGTTCATCTGAACCCTCCATCAGTGCAGGCACCAAGCCTGAGCTGTGCCACAGCAGTTCCTAGGTGTGCCTCTGGTGCTGCTCTGCTGGCTTTTTTTAAGGTGCAGCTTCAGGAGCTGTGTGTGCGTTATCTGATGTGTTACGGTGGCATTAGTGCTTCGTTGGTAGCCCTACAGTCTCTAAAGCTCTGTTTTGGATAGGGGTGGTGAAGGGCTCGTGGTGGAGGTGCTGTGCAGCTGCAGTGTAAACCCAGCATGTGCACAGGGAGGCACAGGGCTGTCTCTGCCACCACCAGCTGCCAGCCTGGGCTTCTCCCAGCTCAGCTCACTTTTGACAGTTTGGTTCATGGAGAGTTTAACACCCGGTTCCTGGAAAGGGCATTGCAGAGGGACGTGGAACTGCTAGCTTTGCTTTTTGCTTAAAAAGGAAAAAACAAAAAAAAAGGAAAAAGGAAAAAGCTGAAGTTGATTGCAACTTGGTCCGTAAAAAGAGGGCAAAAGGAAAAAAAGGTACGATTGTGATTGGGTCTTGTCCCTTGGACTAGCTGGGAGGTCCTCCTGCAGTGTTTCACATGGGGAGAGAAGAGGAATGAGAATACATCGCTCCTTTACTGAGGGAGCAGTGGCCCAACGATATTAAACTTGGTTGAACTTTAAACTTGATTAAACTTAATGTTCACTTGAAATGCAGTGACACATGCACTGCTCCGTCCCTTCTGAGGGCCAGGCGAAGGCTGTCTGCAGCTCTGCCGAGCCGTGGCTGTGTGTGCAGGGGGAGAAGGATGGCTCTCTGTGCCCTAAATATTTTGACAATTACTTCTGTGTCACGGCCTGGAGCTTGGCAGTGCTGTGTGCCATGGGCAGCTGCATGGAAGGGAGAGCTCAGAGCAAGGCCTGGGGTCTTTCACCCTCAGGCACACAGCAATCCGTGTCCCTTAGAAAAATCCCTACCTGTCTTGTGATCTTTTTAAATTTTTTTTTTTCCCCTTGAACAGCGCAGTTTCTTTGAAGCAAGGATGGGGGAAATGGACTTTTTCCCATCCCTGAGGTACTGCTGTCTGTAAATCTGGGGTTTTCCTAATGAACGTGCTGCTGTGCTTTGTGGGTGCTCAGGGAGCTGTGCTCACCCACAGCCACATGCCTGTCCCCTGCCTGTCCCCCACCTCACGCACGCAGCCACTCAGCCTGCAGCCAAGTCCTTAGCACTGTGTGCTAAACTTGTTGCAAAAAGATGCAACCACTCAAATTGTTCTGGTGGTTTTCATTTTGGTGGGGTTTTTTTTCATGTTCTACTGTTTTTTTTGTTTGAATGCAATGCATTGACTGAGTGAAGCTCAGGGCAGACATGCTGAACTTGGGGCACTGTGCTCTTGCAGGCAGTTTGAGAATGTTTCATGCATCCATACTCAAGGTCTGCACAGGCTGAAAGCCTTCTGTCCATGTCGAGCTTTCTTTGCCCCCACATGTTTTTTTCTGCTATTTCTGGCTCATGTTGGCACTGTGCAGCCAGCTCAGTTCCTGCAGGTTATGGTGTGGTGTACCAGCAGAGAAGCTTCTCACCACTGCTTCGGCCTGTCCTGCTGTGCTTGGGTACAACGTTCCAAGCACTGCACAGAGTTTTTCTGCACCTCAGCAGGCCAATGCACTGCTGCTTGGGCTTGTTGGCACCCCCTGCCTTCTGCTGGGCTGCTGCTGAGCCTTTAAGGTGGGAAGGGGTGCATGTGCCATGCTCCAGTCCTTTTGTTTGTGCATCCATTATAGATTGGAAGTCCTTGGTCATTGCTTGAACTCGCTGCCGA